CTATTTTCTCCACCGATTCTGTTTTGATGAGGCTCAGTCACTGACTTCCCACCACTCTTTCCTGCTATGGGAATTCTTCGAAATTTTCACCTCAAGTATTGTGAATTTTGCTTCTAAAATTTCCCTTATGTTATTTTCAGGGTCACCTTTATCTCTTCAGACATGAGGCCCTGCCTTTCCTTTAAGAAGTCAGACTTGTTTCTGTCACCTGCTAATGAGTCTTGGCACTCTACATCCAGGACCTGGGCTATTGCCTTCTCTGTCTCCATAGATGCCTTTCTTTCCCTCCAGGGGACTTTATCCTGCTCCTGTGCCCATCTTGCCAACTTGGATCAGACCCTGGAACTGTGACTGTGTTGTCAAAGGTAGATTGTTTTCTCCCTTAAAGAGTAAATTATTCTTGCACATTGTGTAGACTCCAGAAATTCAAAGTTTTGAAAATGCCATCTGCTCCGCATTGGCCAGAGGAAGCTGCCCTCAGCAGCAGGACACACCCACCCTGCAGCTGGCTCGTCATACGCAGTGCCATACCCAGTGCTGGGACTACTCTGCATGAGGCCCACAGGGTACATGAAGGAATGAGGGACCAGGAAATCACACTGTCCTTATTTATGGATAAGAACTAAGACATGGCAAGGTAGAAGGTCTTGACCAAGTGAGCATCAGAGCTGGGATTTGAACCCAGGCAGGCTGGCTCTAGGCTGTATGTTTGTTACACACATCTTTTGTATCCAGAGCTCATTTTTAACTTTCTTTGGGGTGGAAACCGCACTATTTTCTGCTCCTACTTTTTTCCTCAAGAAGTTCTAGCACAGGCTGGAGGAGATGCTCGGGGGACGACTGCTTGCCCAGCATGTGTGAGGCTCTGGGTTCCATCCCCAGCATAAAAGAGGAGGAAAAGGTGGTGAGGGGGGAGAATAAAAAGAGAAAAAGAAGACTAAAAATGTCTTGTTCTCAAAAAATAACCATTGACAGGCAGAGCCAGAGGTAGGAGCTCTGTTACAACCATTCTCCGCAGCCATCAATTTGCTAGGAATTAAGCACTGGCTCTCAGGAGACTGCATAAGGTTCATCTAAGAGACAAAGCATAAAGCAGAAGGAAAGGAAATCATCTAGTTAGGACAAAGGTGCAGCCAACAGAGAGTCCGCCACCACCGCCACTCCTGAGCCCCGCCAAAACCTGGCGTTGAATTAAAGGCAGAGGACTCAATGGAATGAGTTTTTAGCTTATTTTCTACAACCTAGAGCAAAAGTTTTTGGACAGAAGGTAGGCAGAGGTTAGTTGGAAAAGCAGATTCTGGGGCCCAGATGTACCGAAGGCACTTTGCAGAACTCTAGCTGAGTGTAGGAGACGTGGGGACGAGGAGCAGCAGCCAGGTGAGAGGAAGAGAAGGAACCGAGGTTCTGGCAGCAGAGAGCTTGCGGCCCTGGGAGAGACGAGGAGACACCCAGTGGGGCCAGGAGGGCTCACGAGTAGCCACGCTCCCTCTGGGCACTGGATATGGCAGCCCTTCCTTCTAAGGTGGGTGTGTGTACAAACACTTTGATGCTTGGGGCTGCCCCAAACCCGGAGTGACCACGTGTGCCTGCTTGCCTAGGATGGTCTGAGCTTACTCCTCTTGCTCCAGCACCCCTTCCAGCTTAGGTCCCTTTCCTTCTCAAAAGCATCCTCATTGGGATGATACATCGCAGGGTCACCTTTCTCAAACCCCAGTTCCATGCTCGCCTGGGTAGAAAGGAACTCAGAGCCTGAGTCACACATGTTGGCTCAGTTCACGTTCCATCACTGGAAACTTTGGCCATGTACAGTGTTTTTCTGATGAAAAACTTTCTTAAATAAAACAAACAAACAACAAGAACAAAACCCGGACCTGGTTGTTTTTTCACTTTTTGCTTATTTATTTCTGCAGGATAGAGCCCAGGCTCTTGAGTACGCTAGGCAAACACTCTTATCAAGCTGTGTCCCCAGGCTGGGCTGGCTTTCTGAGTGGTTTTAAGGACCAAGTCAATAAGCTGTGATGCGATTTGATAAAACGTGCTCATACACCAAACAGGGTCTGGAAATTGACAGGGTCCAATTCTCAAAGTCACTTCTGTTCCTCTAGAGACCTTCTAAAATGAGGGGGAAGCAGGATGTTTTGAAAAAAATGCAAATATTATCTAGAAAGGCACTTAGCAGACTGTTGGGTACAGACCATTGCTCTTAAGTAATTAAAGTCTATAGTGTAAGACAAGTGTCTCAATAAACACACTTTCTACTGCCTTTTACATGGAAATTTAAATGCTTATTTACATTTAATTTCAGATTTAAAGCTGAACAGATGTCTCAGGGCCCTTGTAAGAATCAAAATGGCTTAAATAAATCCTTCATTTCAAAAGATTTTATGCCATAACAAACTTTCTGTTTAATTCTATCGCCAATTCAAAATATTGATGTGGTTTTTATTTCAGGTTTATGTAACGCAGTGACTGAAGAAGGGTGCTGGTTCCACTTGGTACATTTTAAACACTCAGGTTCATTTTTCTACTCTCAGCCTCTTCGTAGAAACTAGGCAAAAGGGTTTTCTGCAGAACTGAGGCTTATTGAATGGGAAGGACTTTTTTAATAACCCATTTGGAGACTTTTAAAATCCTTTTAGAGAATTTGATATGCTATCAGAATTACTTCATCAAATCTGAATTATATTTAAACGGGAAGCTAAAGTGGCAGCATATTGCACCATGTTTACCTGGATTTCTTTTCATTTATTTAAATACTGCAGTTAACTGACATAGTAGAACACATTTGCAAGCCAAGTTATTTGTCATCAGAGCTGTTTGGTAGATGAGGTGGGTGGGTAAGCTTGGGGCCTGTGACAGTTACTGACTATAGTAAATGCCACATTTAAAGGGATTCACATGGGTGGCCTTTCAGACTTTCCTTGAGAAAATCATAGGATCTTAACCAGGGGAAAGACAGGCAAGGCACAGGAGAGGGAGGAGGACTCCAGGCACATGGAACAGGTCAGGTGAAGGCCCAGGGGAAGACAGCGTAGGATACACCACGGGTCAGTGGCTGGGGAGGAAGGAAACACTGTAGGAAACACGGGAGTGTCTTCATCATGTAGAGTTGGTTTCCTTCTTTTTGAAAATCTCTGGGCATTATGAATGACATTAAATCTCTTTTTGTAGAGTTGAACTGGAATTGAGAAAAGTTGGAAGCAGAAACCATTTAGGAAGATTTTGCAATAGTTCAAATAAAATTTTTAAAACCATTCTGGGTGCAAGCTAGCACAGCAGCAGTGGGAAAAGAGGATGGATGGATTTTGGGTTTTGTTTTGTTTGTTTTGCAGTGCTGGGGAATCAAACGCAGGGCTTTGCATAAAGCTCATCAACCGGATTGGTTTAGAGACACCTAGGAGATTAGTAAAGCACACTTGTGGGTGTGTTTGGCTGGGTCTTTGGGGGTGTGATCTTAGGGACTATATCTGGTCCCTGATCCCTTGTTCACTGGCTCTTTCTGTGCTCTCTGCTTCCTGGCTGCTATGCTGTGAGCGGCTTTCTCCTGCCATGGCCTTCCGCCGTGTTGCTTCTGTCTTGAACTGAAACTGAATAAACCTTTTCTCCAGTCATTTGTATATGCCAGGCACTTTGTCCCAGTGACAGAAAACTGATCAATACCATTGAATTAAACCTCCAGCGCCTGATCGTACTTAAAATTCCTAGGACCAGACACCTGTTCACATGGGAGAAGTGATGAGTAGCCAGCACTGCGCTGCTTGGAATCTCTGGGACTGGACATTGGGGAGGTGGAGAAACCATGATGCTCTGCAGAGGCCACAAAGGCAGGCTTGGGCTGACTGAAAACACACTTCGTCCCAGATATTTCCCCGAGCCCAAGGTATCCAGGGAACAAGAACAGGGCAAAGTATAAATTCATCTATATCAGCTACAAAATATTTATGATCATGAGTCATCATTTACTAGAAGAAAAAGTTGTAGAGAGAGGAGGAAAAGGGAGGAACTTTCTGAAAGGCAGCTGGATACACAGGCCTGAGCCTCAGGAGAGAAGTCCCAGCATGGGAGTGGCGGGGATGCAGACAAGAGTGGTGATGACAAGAGGAGGGGCTGAAGATGGACCATCTTCAGGGGACAAGAAGAAAAGTCAGAAAGGAACCCTGATGAAGGACAGAACAGAGAAACCAGTGGCCATGGAGTGGCCAAAAGATCTCAGAAGGTGTCTCAAACTAGTGAGGGACAAAGTACATAAAAGAAAAAGCCCAGCTCATTTGTGCAGAGAGTTTTGAGAGCTAGAAGGTGACTCCTGCTGGTAATTTGCATTAGAAGGCTCGCTCCTGTTACCTGACTTCTCCAAGCAGGCACTGACAGTAGGGGCAAGGGTCTCCCAGCTAAAGCACGTTACCCTTGGCCTCCTGCTGCTGTAGGGTGTTGGGGTGGAAGCCAGAGCTCAACCTCCAGGAAACAAAAGGTGGTAGAGACTCGCACCTATTCTTACAGCACCCTGCACAGCACTATCTGCGAGTGTGAATCTGTGGCCTGCAGGGGGGCGGAGAGGGGGCGCGGGGGGCGGGGGCAGGAGAAGCAGGGGGCAGCTCTTAGGCAGAAGCAGCACCCTTTATTCTGCGTTCTCTGCTAGAATATGAAAGTTGTTTCACAATACAGAAGCCTATGTTCAGATGATTTTGTTGTTTTTCATTTTTGCTCTAGGTACTGGGGATTGAAGACGGGGATGCATTACCACTGAGCTACATCCCTGGTCCTTTTATTTTGAGACGTTTTATTTTGCTCAGTTGTGCAGGGAGGCCTCACACGTGATCCTCGTGCCTCAGACTCCTGAGTAGTTGGGGTTACAGGCATGCACTCCCACACTCGGCTCAAACGATTTTCTTGAAACCTGGATTTTACCATTATAACAGAATCAGATGTTATTTGCCTTTCTTAATATACATGAAAGATGCTATTTCCTATTTTTAATATATGTGCATTAGAATTGTACATACTTTTTTGGAATCCTGGCTTTTTTCTGTTGCGAGTATGACATTTCCTTTCAAAGTGATATTAAGCTCTGGATCATGGGAGACAAAAGGAAAATAGACCATGAGAACATACAAGCCCACAAAAGAAATAAACACCAAGAATGATGTCGCACAATCATAGGGCACTTTTATGAAGGGAAGAAAATCCAAGGTGCCCTTCTGAGGGAAAAGATTGTTTCCGTCTGCCTCCGGGAGAAACGCAGAGCTGGCTGCTCATCTGGTGGCTTTTTGCAGATTCCTCATTGTCCCTGTAAACCCCCTGTAGGTTCCACGTGGTCCTGAATGACAGGATAGGGCAGGGGAATTTTCTCTAGCTGTATCCAAAAAAACACCCAGGAGAAAAAGGAAAGGCCAGAGCTACGTTCCTACTTTACCACGGTGGAGGGCAGCAGGAGAAACCAGCACTTTTATTGGTGTGTTTGTGTTTGCAATGCTGCAGATCAAGCCCAGGACCTGCTATAGGCCAGACTAGTGCTCTACCACTACGTTACATTCCCAGCCTTAATGCAGGAGCCATTATGATCAACTTGGAGATTTGTGTGCTATTGTACCATCAGTATCTCTTTCAACAGAGAGATTTTATTTACTTATTTATTTATTGACAGGGTCTTGCTATGTAACCCAGGCCAGCCTCAGCATCCCAAGTGCTGGGATTACAGCCAGTGCCACCAAACCCCCAAATGGGGAGATTTTAAATGAGCTTTCCATGTGAATGGTATCTGGGAGCTGGGCCTAGTAGCACATGCTTGTAATCCCAGGACTCTAAGAAGCTGAGGCGACAGATTTGCAAACTGAAACCCAGCCTGGCTGAAGCCCAGCCTGAATAACTTAGTGAGCTCTTGTCTCAAAATAAAAAAAAAGGACTGGGAATGTAGTTCAGTGTGAAGGCCCTGGATTCAGTCCCCAGTATCACTACAAAATGTGGGGAAAGGGGGAGTTAAAAAAAGGTTAGATAGCAAAAGTGATGCCTACCCACCATCTAAACAGTGAGTGAAAATAAGAAAAATCAAACTCACTGGTTGTTTGGATGACCTAAAGCTTAGCCGCAGGTCTAGAGCTCCCTGTCTCCTCTCCCCCATCACTTTCCCATCTCAGAATTAGATGCTTCTGTAAAATGCAGCAGGCTGGATTTCTGACCCCACTTCCATCAGTTCCATTTCACCCCCTCCAATCACATGGCACCAGGGACCCTGATATTCTTCCAATAAATTCAAGTGCGTGGCTCAGACCGTACCTGGACAGCCAGGCTTCCTAGCACCAGCCACTGATAGCAAGGGCTGCATGACAAACATGTGGCTGAAAGGGCGTCTTCATCACTCACCTGGTGGCCCATAGATGGGGATCAGCAGGTGGACTCGGTTGGAGAGAGAGGCAAAGCTCATAAACTAAAAGACAAGTTTCTCCCAGACCCCAGCACAAATTCTGAGGAGACTGCAGGCTGGGACGCAGGGTGAGTCTGGGCCTGAGACAGGCACAGTTTAACTCTGCTGTGACCTGTGCCTTGTGAAAAGTTCCCATGGCAGGTCTCATCCCTTTGCTGCTCTCCAAGAAAGCCAGGTAGGGGACAGGACTTGGGACATGCTCACTATCCCGGAGGGATGTGGGATGGCCACTTTGCTTTGTGGCACCTTTGTATTAACTGTCCTACTCAGAGGCCAACGTATCTGTCCCAGAACCTTGCTGCCCTTTTCAAATGAGCCCAGCTATGCCCAAGCCTTGTGGAAAGCTCCCTCTACCTCCAGTCCCAGGACTGTAGTCTGGAGATCTTCCAGAAGCCACCTATATTATTATTGAACTGCTAACATGAACTATGTGAAATAGTTTTTTTTACAGATCAAATTCGATCCAAAATGTAGTGCGTTCATCCTCACAATAGACATTATGAGAAAAGAGTAAAGTAGCAAAGGCACAATTTTGAGAGCCAGATCTGGGTTCAAATCTCAGTTCTATCACTTCCATTCCACAAACATAATATAACATATACTAAACTCTTGCTGTGTGCCTGGTACTGTTCTAGTTGCAAGCAGAAAACATTGGTGAAGACAGATGGCCTTGCTCTTTGGGGTACTTTCTATTGTGTGATTATCTTCTGAGCTACATGATGGACCCATCACTTTGCCTCTTGGAGCTTCAGCCAAGGATTTTGAGGATTACACGAGATAATGTACATCAGGTCCAGAATGCATGAGTGGCTTTCACTATGGCTCACAGAGGACTTCCGGTCACTATCTGCAGGGACAAAGCACTGACATTGTGGGAATCTGCAAAGCCATTCTCTAGGGCTCTGAAGCCAGAAACCACTTCAGGAGAATGGTCCTCCTGGGGCCCGTGCCACTGTAAGCAAAGCCCAGGAACCAAGACCACTGCTCCCACCCACCCGCTCTACAGCCATCAGCTGCGATGTAAATCAGGAGGGCAGTTATATAGGGGGGCTCAGGAGGTACAGGCTGATGCATGTTTCTTAATAGACATGAAACCATTTAACCCAAAGAAAACAATGATCAAATGTATTGATTGAGACAAAGTGGAGGTGGAGACTTCAAAGGAAGTCTGGAATTTATCTGTGGGAACTTCTGACTTTAAGGAATCCACATGCATCTGGCTCTAATTAGTTAAAGGATACGCAAATTGATCAGTCCTTCCCCCAACTTCCAACCCAACTGAGTCTCCGAAGTGAATACAAACGTGGAATTTCAGATTCCTTTTGCAGCCAGGGACCTATTTTCCCTGCTCTGTGTGCAAACAGGCCGCACGGCTGTTTCACGGGTCAACATACACACTACGTAAAGCTGCATGAATCATGCCGGACAGGGTTTTAATAAGTGCTAAATGCTAATTAGCAGCGCAGCTTTCGACAGTACCTTCACTGTCATCGCTGTCCTTAGGTCCATCCGGCTTTCTGGGTCCATCCAGCATAGGTGATGCACAGGGAGGTGGAACCAACAACTGCACTAACTTTTTTTCATACACTTTTCTGGTGGAAGCTGAGGAAGAATGTGGAGAACAAATTGTCCTATTTTTATATGTGATCCTATGGGATTCAGGGTATTTCATAACTCAGCCTTTTTTTTTTTTTTTTTTTTTTTGGCAGTACTAGAGACTGAACCCAGACCTTTTTGCACTGAGCTACATCTCCAACCCTTTTATTATTTTTTTCTTTTTTTTTTTTCTTTTTTTAGGCAGGGTCTCACTACACAGTTTAGGCTGACCTAGGGCTCACTGTGTAGCCCAGGCTGGTCTCAAACTTGCAACGATCCTCCTGCTTTAATACTTGGATTATAGCAGTGCACCACCATGCCTGGCTCCTTTTTATTATCTTGAGACATGGTCTTACTAAGTCACTAAGGCATCTAGCTGGCTTCAAACATGCAGTCCTTCAGCCTCAGCCTCCCAGAGTGCTGGGATTATAGCTGTGCAACATGCCCAGCTCCCTATAACTTTTTAAATGAAGCAGATGCCACAGCCACTGAGCTCACTTCTCTTCCACAAACACTGAGGTAGATTAGCCACAGAGTCAGGCATTGAATATATATTAGAACAAGATGGCCATGATTGTATATCTTACTCTACATATTAGAAATACAGACAGTAAACACATACATGAGTAACTAGTTAATACAGAGCATATAGCCAAAACAAAACAAGGTAATATAATAAAGAATAACAGGGTTTCACTGTTGAAAAAAAAAAGAAAAAAGCAATCCTTTCTGGCATCATACGTATTAAACTGTAAGGATTCTCTCTGTGTATATGATTTTCTGTTTCCCCATTCACTGGGGGAAACTGTGCTGGAGATTGAACACAGGGCCCCACACATCCTAGGTACTAGGAACTGAGCTACAAGCTCAGTTTCTCTATCTCTATTTGCATGGTTTTTATTGCATATGTTTCCCCTAGTAAGGGTTATTTTCCATCTTTGGAGGTAGATGGCAAATGATAAAGGTTTAGTTCTCTGTGTCTGTGTATACATACGCAGTATTGGGCCAGGTGAAAATCCAAGCTTCTTAAGTTGATTTTGCAATTCAGCATCACTCAGACATTGCACATCCACCATGGTGATGGAAGTCTGGTCTCTTTCCTGACAGTGGAATCCTGGGAATGGTAGAAAATCAAATTCATTAAGACAGTCTTATGAATAAGTGCTAAAGCTTTATTCACCCACAAGAGGATTTTCAAGCCTTCTTCCCCTCTTGGAGGTGCACAGTCACAAAGTCCACATCATCCTTTCTGCTGTTTTCTGCCTTTAAGCCCTTCTAGCATTAGCATCCTCCATGGGAAGCTTTGGGGGGGCTGTCATCCTACCCAACATTTCTTACTTCTTTGCTTGGCTGATGTGAGGAAAATCTTCCGGACAAAATGAACAAATATTTCCATTATTGTTCAGGAACTCTGTGTAAGACTCAAGCTCCGGGAAGATAAGAAGTTAATTAAATATGAAAGAGCTGAGAGAGATTTTTTTTAAGTGAGTTAAATAAAAGTTATTTATCCCTGCCCTCCTTTTGATGACAGTACAGAGAGTACAGAGCATTCAGTTATTGCAAGCAGTAGTAGTTTTCACACTTGCAATTTAACTCTGAGCATAACGAGATGGTAGTTTTTAATTAACCACCAGCAGACTTTGTAATTGCTGAATTGGCATTTGAAAAAAGTCAACTATTCATTCTCTGGCACACAAATTGATTTACATAGATTTATGCAAGTCTTGATCTAGCTTCCAAACCTCTGCCGCCTCAAGCTCAATCAGTTTTATCTCATTGATCTCCTGATCTCCCTAAAATCAAGCCCTCCACTCATTTGACAAAACTGTGAGGAAGACAGAGCCATTTGTCAAGGCTTTTAACAGAGATTTTTAATTTAAGGATTTTGTACCTCATTTCTATCATGTTTCAAGGCTTTCTAATATTGCCGAGAAAGTGACCACAAGATAATTACTCAGCATAGGAGGATCTAGATCAATTTTAAGTAATGACTTTGCTTTTATTGGTGATCAGTCAATGTCCAATTAGGAAGAACATTGTATACAAACTAGAAAACGCCATGAATTGTCTTATATGAGTGCTCAGGAGCACCTAGCTGAATGGTTTTAAACTTTAAAACTGCTTATTTTTCTTTCACATAGTAGGTGCTTAGCAAACGCCAGTCTCTCCTTTCTATGTGTTTGGGAAATTGAATTAACACTTCCATTTCCCTAAGAAAAAACCTAATGCTAGAAAGAAAAGGGGAACTGCATCTCAGTTTTCTCTTCTTTTCTCTCTTTTTCTTTTCTTTTTTTTTCCTGGAGGCTAGCTTTGGCAAATCCTATGACACTAGTTCCTGAGAACAGCTGTCTGTTGTTTCTCCAGTTTCCCAAAAATAACCTCCAAAAGAACCCTCATCAATTTCAGGTGACGCTAGACAATTGCCTGGAGGGAACACGCATATGGAAGAAAAATATTCAAATGAAATCCAACTGGATGATTAATCCACTTACCCCTTCACATGGTTATCTAAAGTCTATGCAATTGGGATGGTTACTGAGGCAGAATGAGTCTCACCCACAGGTCTCCAGGAGCAACCAACCCCTCTATGCTTGTTAGATATTATGGTAATCATAATACCAGCAGTGTGACATCAGTAACCCCCATAGCAACAGACCAGATGATTAATTTAAACTAAGTTCAAACAGAAGGAAGTACTGGTCGACTTCAGAGGCAGACTGCCACAAGAAAATGTCAAGAGAGGTAGGAATGTTATCATTAGACACAGGAAGTAAGAGCTGCTACCACGCCAAGGGTAATGGTGCCAAGAAATTAGTAGGAGAAAGAAGTCAAACTCCAGAGTCCAGCCTACCTAAAGAGACCCAAAGTACTAGATGGGTAATTTAGCTGTGCACTCTAGGGAAAATTGAATGTAGACGAAAACTATATTAATTTGTTAAGGATTATTTGCTTAAGAAAATAATAATCAGGATGGAGTGCAGGTAACTAATCATACACTGGAGAAGTTGGATGATTTGAGCCTTTTCAAAATGCTTTATACCTCTTTCTGTTCACTGGACACCCCTGTGAGACAGCTGAGACAGATACTGTCATCTCATTGCAGTAACTTTCTTCTTGTTGCTGCTTTATTTAAAGGAAAGATCCAGCAGACTATTAGCTTGCACATTTCCTGAAAGACTGCTGCAATTTTTAAAATAATTATACCAGGCAAAATGTAGCTGTGAGAAAATACCATGCTAGTGCACTGATTAAACATCAGGGAGAGGAGGGAACCACATGAAAAGGTTTAAGGGAACAGCAGCTCCAGCCAGCTCTATCATTTAGTGGCTGGGTGACACAGGACCCAGTAAATTACTAACCCCAATATGTCTCTTCTTTACCTGTAATGGGGATGATGGTGGTACCATGCATACGACTGTCATGAAGGGTCAATGGATTATAATACACATAAAGGGAGCATTACACAAATGATTCTAATTATTATTCTAATGAATCACGAGCCCTATCCCTGAAAGTTTCCATACCCATCTCTTCTTCAGGAGGCTCCATCCCATTTACACATCACTGAGGGACTTCAACTGTCTTCAGATCCTGGGAAAAGAGCTGCATATCTCTGGTTGGCTGGTTAGGAAGGCTCCCAGGCTACGACTCCAAAGTTACTGAATAGAGCATCCATTCCAAACAAATGCAAAATGCAATGTTTACCAACACCCAAACACTGGATTCACCAAACAAACACTTTGAAAACTGACACATTTGTTCCAATCAAAGCAAATAAATGATAGGCTTGGCTTATTAGGATGCACAAGCGTTTTGTTTATATTTCCCAGAATTGCTTTCAACAGAAAAGCAACTAGCAGGTGGAACTGCTTCCATTTTAAACAGCAAGACTGCTGGGATGAAGTAGACATTTTTTAAATATTTTCTTGTTCAAACCTCTGGGATTTAAAACAAGGCAAGTTGAGAAAGAATTAAGCCAATGCTGCAACCAATATCTGTCAGTTGAGCCCCCTTCTATGTGTAAACTATTCTGTTCAAAGCTACTTTATTAAAGATCCACCTTGTGTGTATCCATGATTCTACTGTTAGCCTTCTATCGTTTAAGAATTCCTGCACTCTGTGGAGTTCTGAAGTATCTGGCTTCAGAGTTTACAGCATTTCTCTCCGTTTTCTCTCTGTAGTCCTGGGCATTAGCCTAGTTTTTGTTGTTGTTTGTCTGTTTGATTTTTATTCTCTCCAGAGCTGCAAAGACGGTTTTATGCCATTTCTGGAGGGAAGCAAGTTTTAATCACCAATTGACAAGGTATTCAGCATGATAAGTTATCTAAATCCTGAGCACTTCCTCCTTTCATTAAAATGTAGATCCAATTTCTCTTCCCTTAATGCCACATGCTGTTATTAAACCGAAATAGTGGAAATAGTGAAAGCCAGATGTCACTTGAGTCTCAGGTTTGATGTGGGACACAATTTCCTCTCCTCAAGTTTAATCTGCCAGTTATTTACTAACCCCATCCTTTGGAAGAATGCACAATTTAAATGTAAACGCAATTTACATAGGGAAGCAGATAGTAGATTTGCAGTTTCAATTGCCAATAACCATTTGCAAAGGGGGAAATCAACTTAAGCAAAGATCAGCAGCTGTCAGTCTGAAGTTTTCATCACTCACTATTCTCAGATAACCCTCCTCCAGAAGCCACCTGCCTCTGCAGCTCACCTACCAAAGCAAAGGAAGCAGAACACGGTCATTTCCTCTGAGATTTCAAGCTGAATTTACTAGTGACCGGGGGGATGGGAGAAGGAAGAGTCAGGTTTGGGTTTCATTGATCTAAACCTGTTGCAATCACTGCTCAAACTGTCAGCTGACAGTTCATTGCAACAAATACTTATTGAGCAGCTCCCATTGGATGCATGTTATACTTGGCCTAAAACAGGGAAAGGCAGAGAAGAATACAAAAGCTTTGGTCTTTGAAGGAGCTCACTGTCTCCAGTAAGAGAAAAGAAAACAAATGATCATAAGAAAATAAGACATCTGGGGGCTGGGGATTTAGCTCAGCGGCATAAGTGCCTGCCTTGCAAGTGTGTGGTCGTGAGTTCGGTCCCTGGTAGTGATAAAAAAGAAAAAGACAAAAAACAAAACATTAAAAAAGAAAATAAGATATCAGTAGAGAAGCCCAAACTTGGGGGCTCTAAAGAGTCATAGGTGTCATTCAACAAGGTTGCAACTTCCAGTGTGGGTCAACAGTATGTCCTAAAAAACTAGGGATTGGACACAGACAGCTGAGGAGTGTGACAATCAAAAGGAGGGAAATGAGCCAGGATGAAGAGTTTGGGACCAATGTGTGAAACACCTTGAGGAGCATGCTAAGGAGCCGGGACACATGTCCAGCTTAGAAGCTGACTGAGCAGAGGATGGCTTGGAGCGCAAAGGTAGCTACAGGATTACTTTGTTACCACAGCAGTGGAGAAAGGTGAGGATTTGGTTTGGGGAGGACAAGAGAAGAAGACGCATGATTCACAAGTGACGGAGGAGGCAGAAAAGCCAGGGTGGGCCATCCGGTTGGTATTTCCTCTTCTGTTCACTTGCATACACTCCACTTCAGTAAGGTCTTTTGTCTCGGCCATGAGTCTGCTTACATAAGAAGCCTTATGGAGTTTGGCCTACACAGCACTGACACTTTAAAAATTAGTCTGTGCTCGTCTCTTCAGCTCTTGATTATCCACAGGACTTGAAGGCAGCAGCATTGCAGATAATCCATAACACTCTTCTCTTTGGTTTTGGAATTAATTACATCTTTTAGAGCAAATTTGCCTTCCTAATTAATCTTTCTCAGACTGATATCAAAATTAACTAATATTCTCTGAGCCTCACTCCAGCTGGGCAGGGGAAGGGAGAGCCGGGCAGGCTGAGCACAGGAGGAAGCCAGTGCCACTGTGAAATTCACTTTGGGCCAATCGCATGGATGAGAGCAGGCTCAGGCTCTTTGATATAAACATTAGATTCCAGCCCCTGGGGAGGTGGGCCACTGAGCACCAACTATGTGCCCACTACTAGTGAAGATGCCTCATGGTGAGAAAAGAAGCAAAGCTCCCCTTTGCTGGTTTAATCAGGTACTATGCATGTGTTGGTAGAAGTATTTTCCCTGGAAGAGAATACACATGAACACGGTTAATGGAGAAAAAACTCAGCAACTCTGTATTAAACAAAGGGGGGTAAAGTCACTTAATCACCATTTTATGAACACAGCAACAAATACACTTTTAATAAAAATGAATGTGCCTAATTTCCTCTTTCAGTAAGCCAAATCAGTGCATTCTTCTGACATGTCTAAGTGTGATATGCCCTAGTGATTTTCACTGTGGGACACACTAGTTCAAGATCTCCTCAGAGATGTTAGGAGCTGCTATGGGGACACAGAGAAGCAGTCCTCCGGGGTGGCCACAACCACCTCTGCCTACAAAGACTGTATTCCAAGAACATTTTCACTGCTATGCAAAAATAGGAAGCTACCCATCTACCCTGTTTTCTAAGCTGCTTCTTAAAAACAAAACGGCCTAGACTTCAGTCTTGTCAGAAGAAAAAGCAGATCTTTGACGCTGACAAATTACAATTTTGGGGCTTTCTTCCTGGTATACTATAAATCCTGCAGCTGGCAATCTGGTACAGAAGCCATATGCAAGAAATTTTAGGAAATCTGTGATGACAGAAATGCATCTAAGATAATTTTTTTGTTGGTGGTGGTATTTTTTTTTTAAAGACATGGTCTTGTAGTGCCAGTTAGCCTTGAAGTCACTCGTGTAGCCCAGGCTGGCTTTGAACTCAGAGCAATCCTCTGCTTCAGCTTTCCAAGTGCTGGAATTATAGGCATATGCCATCGCACCTGGCTAATATGAGTTTCTTGACCTCAAAGAGATTACATTCTGGACAGAGCATCAAACCACACAAGGGAAACGATAAGTAAAACATCAAAGTTTAGGAGCTTAGAGTACTTGCCTGACATAAATAAGGCCCTAGGCTCCTTGCCTAGGACCATAAAAAAACCAAAAAGTTAAAGTTCCTAATCAAATACAAACATAACAGTACTCATAAGTGCTATGGAAGTTCAGAAGCAGAGAAATCTCCACTGACCAGACTTGAGTGTTCAAGAAAGACTCCCTGGGGGAGGTGGACTGAGAGTGGGACCTAAAGTGTAGGACCGACAGTGTCTTCACGGTAGCAAACAGAGAGAGGAGACTCTAGACAAGGACGCATCATGGACAGAGGCTTGGGGACAAGAAGAGGACAACACTGGCTGGCTCTGTCATTAGAGAAGTGGATGGATGTGGCTGAACCAGTCTGCAGCATGTTCAGGGATTTTTAGGGAAGGTGTGAGCCCCGCATCCCTTCTGTACTGAAGATCTTTCCATTGTAGGGTCCTCTGCTGTCAACAGGAGGCCCCTGGAAGCCCCATGTGATGGTCCC